GGTACTGTTAAAAAATTCTTGCCATTTTATTAATCTGGTTTTGTAAAATATTTTTAAAAGTTTTCTTTGGTGTTTTTTTTCTATTTTTTTTCTTTTTAATTTAGTACAAGTCTTACGTATCTCATGTATTTAACCTTGTTCTTTGCTTGCCTTTCTTTCCCTCTTCTTCTCCCTTTCTCTCCTTCCCTTTCTCTTCTGCCCTCCACTTTCATCTTTCCTCTCCTCCCTCCTCTCATCTCTCTTCTCTCTCGAATGTAAGAGGGAACTATAGCTTAGTGACATGTCATTTGTCAATGTAATGTTAACATTACTTTGCTAACTCAAATTAAACACCCATTCTCCGTTATCTCACTGACTAAAATTTAAGGTAGCACTATGTTGCAGATAATGTCTAAAAGAGATGGTTTTTTCAGCAGAAGAAGATTCTCTTTGGACTTAACCTTGTGTCCTCCTTTTATTCTATGATTCCAAAGCATTAAAAATTTTCATGAACTGTCATTTCTTAATTTGGTTTATCTTTAACAAGTCAACATTTCTTACATCTGCTGGTGTCATGCTTAACCCTGTTTACTGCTGGTCAACTAACATTTCACCTTTTCTCCCCTCTTTGCTGCATTAAAATGGAGCAGTAAACCTGACAGGTGAGAAGTGAAAAGTAATCACTCTTCATTTAATCCAAAAAAGGAGAAAAAAAAAGTTTTCATGATGATGATCTAAGACAAAGTATCTGTCAGTCTACGTGAATGTAGACAGTAATCTATCAATACAATGGCAACAGAAAGATTTGTTGTGTTGTTTACAGCACTGAAAAGTAACGTAACACATGCAGCCAAGTTTCACTGCTTTTTTTTGTGTGTATTCATGAGGTACATTTTCAAGAGACATCACAGCTATACAATATACATAAGGTTTTATTTGTGTTTTAATGAAGTTAAACCAGTGGTTCTTTGCTATAACCAAAGCTGTTGAAAGAATGCATGGTTGTGGTTGAAGTGTTAGCCACTCTAAATCTCCATAATGCTCCATACACATGCACTCGGTGCTGACTTACAGTTCTACAAGTGAAAATGATACTGTGATCTCATTTGTCTTTTACGAATTTTTTTCCAGCTGTCTCAAAGCCATTGCATAATCTGAAAGAATTGTGATGTCGTATATAGTCTGGAAAGATACAAAAAAGCCAGAATAATAAGAAATAATAAACCATTCTATTATCCTAAGTATTCAAAATATTCAGATATATGATTAGAAGAGATTTTGGTGCTTTTAGTAGACTAATACGAAGTTGTGCTGCTCAGTACTGACTTGCAAGTGGAAAAAAGGTAAATAAGCTTGTCTCTGAACAGTTCCACTGATCCCTAGACTTCAGGAGAGGGAAATATAGATAAAAATACTTCTTGAAAGCTGCATCACAGCAGCTGTTAAGAAGTAGGAACACTAAGATATTGTGATACTGTGGTAGGAGTTTGAGATAGTCAGAATCAAAAGTAAAAGGTGAATTTCAGCTGAGTTTCTCCATTTTTTTTTTTTTTAAAGTAGAACCAGAAGAATCGGATTTAAAACTTCATTGCTTCACTAAAGAGAAGTTAATACATGTGTTAAGATATCTACCAGAGAGCAGATGGAATGTTTTTACAGCAAAACATTTCCTCCCCCCACCCTGCACCCTGGGCCCATAAAATTATAGGACTAGTAACTTTCAAATAATTCCTGCAACAATATTGCTGTTTGGCTTTTTTGCATAGTCTTTGAAATCTTGCTGTATGCATCTTTCATGAATGCCACCAGGTGTTCATCATATCAAGAACAACAAGAAATCAATTGGAGCATTTTTAAGACAGGAGCCCAGCAGAATAATAACAGATTTAGCTGACATATTGTGAACCAATTAGAAAAAAGGAAGAAAAAAAACCCGTTAACAATAGTGTTATGTTAGAGCAAATATTGGACACCTGGATAAGATTTTGGTATCATAAACCTTAGAATAATCTCCGTTCTGTTTTCACAAAGTAACTCTTTGGCGCTGTTTGCATCTTCATTCTATATTACATGACGATTTCATTCAGGAACTCTCAGAGGACTAGTGAAGAAGGATTCCACTTCAAATTAAAGCATTAAATTTTTAGATTCTTGAACGAAAATGTGAAGTGATAGATATTCTTCCTGTAACATGGTTCTCCATGTTTTGCGTCAGAAAAAAGATAATCTCAAATGATGTGAGTCCGTTGTACCAAAACAGTCAGAGTCAGAACACACATGGACTCTGCTTCTTTCTAGAGAAAGGGAAGCGTACACAAATTTCCTTTCTTTCCTTCCTTCTTCCCTCCCTCCCGCCTTCCCTCCCTCCTCTGTCCTTCTGTCTTTCTTTCCCTCTTTCCTTCTTTCTTTCTGTCTTTCCCAGCTTGTTTGGACAGATTGACAGGAGTACTATAATTGCAGGGAAAGTCTTAATTTGATCAGAAACTTTCATGCAGAATCTGAACCTTGAATATGTAGGTGCGATCAGTTGCATGAAGATTGTGTAATGGAGCTCTTAAAGAGATGAGGGGCAACAGAGCAGATTCTTAACTTTGTAGAACGTGAAAGGAAGTCTTCTGGGACAGATGTCTTCTGTACTGTTCTGTCATATTGAAAGTACCTGAAGAATGCAGGTTACTTTTCAGGGGCAATGCAGAGCTGTGTGTAAAAAATCTGAAGTGTTCAATGATAATAACTTGGCGTGTTTGTTTTTAATTACATGCTCAAGAGTTGGTTATTTTTTAGTAAAGGTATAGCTAGCTAGCTTTTAAAATAGGGATAGCGTGAATTTTTGTACATTTCATGTTGTATCTTACAATAGTTAACTGTTCAGGTCCCCAGAATGTTAATTTAGAGAATGCAGTTATTTTCCCTCTGACATTACTGTATTTAGATTCATTTTGCCATTGCAAATTGTAACTACCCTGTCCACCATGCATAATTGTTTTACCTTTGCACTGGATCACATACACTTTCAGAAATAAATGTCTCACCTGTAGAATATAATGATTAAACACTCAGGCACCTTTAGTTGTCAAGCTAACACCTCGATCTTATGTTTACGTGTATTCACCATCTCCGTGCAGGAAGAGGGCTGAATCTGATTCTAGAAAGAGCAGCATACCCAACAGCAAGGACGTCCCCTCTCACCATCCCACAGACCCAGTGGAGCTGCGACGCCTTAATTTTCAAACTCCGGGTAAGAGACAATAATAATTCACAGAGAGCTCTATGATCACAAACTGATCAGTGGTGCTGTTACAGAACAGCTTGATTGTTCAGAAAAATGTATTTTGATTGATCATGAAGTTTTTGCACCATGTATTTCTTTGTTAGTTTTGGAAATAATTCTGTAATTTCTTTATTTAAAGAAAAATCCTGGATGAAACAAAATTAAAGTTTTGTAAAGAAGACCCCAAAGTCACACATGTTGTATGGATATGTTTTATGTGTAAAATTCCAAGTTAAAGCTAACAATGCTAGAAAAGATTATTGGGAAATGTACCTCCCTCTATTTATTAATGATCTTCTTACAGCTACGTCTTTGTAAATAAGCTTTCCTCTTATCTACTGTATTATCAGGTAATCGATTAACATCATTGGAAGTTCTACTGCATTGTAAATGTACAATACAGAAAAGAAATACTAACTACAGAAATGGTTTTGTCTTTTAAAATCAGGCTATATGTTAGGGTCGAGGAGGATATTAGCATGTCAGTAGTTGTGAAGTTAGAAGCAACACACTCCCAAATATTTTATTTATTAAGCATTGTTTTCTTAAAGCTGTTCAGTTTATGATAGTTAAGAAACACCAGGAGAGAAATACTTAAAATAGTATTGGGGGTTTTTACCACCTTTTAATGAGTCGATTTTTTTTTTTTTTTTAAGTTGGCTTTATTTTGATCTTGATGTATTCCAGTAGACTTTTTTTCTATTACAATATGATTATATATGGTCCCGGTCTGATACTAATTACTTACCAAATCTTCCTGAACCTTGTGTTTGTCAAATTTATTACATTAAGTACAAAAAATAATGAATTCAAGATCATAAAGGCAGGGAATTAGTACTTGAGATGTTGAGAGATTAGCTGCACAAGCTGACATACTGAATATTACAAAAGGGTTAACTGAAAACACAAGTCTCATTTCTGATCTTCTAAACAGTGGCTGTATTAAGATAGCGTGCCCCAGCATGGTGGATCGGCAGACCAATGAATTTGAGGTCAAACACCCAACATCCACGCTGCATGCATATGGCAGAGGTAGAAAGGGAAGAGTCCGGAGGCTTGAGTTTTAACCCAGCCTTGCTTTTCTAGTCTGTTCCAGTACACTGAATGCTCTTTAGCAGATGGGGCAAATTAGGTGTGTTTCAGGAATGCATCTTCTACTTTAGTTTCATCTGAATATGGGAATCTTGTTGACGTGTGCTGGGACCTCTCTACAATATGAACCTAAGTGCATTAAATGGAAATGATTGAAAGTTTTGGTTCACAGTTGTGCTTCTGAGACTGCAATATTAATGGAGACTCATCCTTACTGAGGAAAGGTTTTGTATGTTATACAGCAAAAGACTTTAATACTAAGTTTTAAAGATTGTTACAGACATAGAAGTATACGTACAAGTCTTTGAAACATCAAAAGAAAAATTACAGTACTTACAGTTTAGCTTATGCCTAAAACAAGTCATTATCTGTATACAGGTATATATTGAGTAGAGTAGATGGCTTAATAACTAGGTATATAAGCATAATTTTCTGCTTTCTGTGTATTTAGATGTGGAGTCTTACCTATCCATTTGGTATTCATCATAAATTAAAATGAAATGTGGGCAGAAATAAGATTATTCCAAGTCTTAACAACTTCACATATAAAATTAATTTATTGTAATTAATTCTAAACTTACATTTAGAATGTAAAGTTATTAAGAAACTACAGAATTTGTAGTACTTGTAGACACCATAGTTCCACCTCACTGATCTGAAAAGAGCTGGAGAGGAGTGGAAGTGTACCTTTCCTTGCAGTACTATAGTTTATCTGGGAAGTTTGCAGTTTTCTGTGAAGCTAGTTGAGCAGAACATCTGCAATCCATTTCTACTATGAGGCCTTTTTCTTTGCTGTAAACCTTTTCACAAAATGGAGGATTAAAATTATTATTAAAAGCATAGTACAGAAATAAAATTATGATCTTTTTTCCTATTATTATACCACCTAAGACCCCTAGGCATAGGTCAGGCCATTATGTTACTCAGCATGCAACCAAATATCAAGGAGAAAAATTCTACTCCAGGAGATTTGTCTTGCTGTGTAACACTTTCTAATTAACATGTTCTTAATATGTAATCTTAGCCCTAGTGAAGTCAAGGTACAGTTCTTGTGCTAGTAAAAGCAGAACCTCACTTAACTCATACTAACTTCAATTAGGGCTAACATTTCATTAAAATCCAGCTGAATTTAACTTAGATATTTAGATCCTGCTGGAATGTTTATCCAACTCCGCCCAGTAACACACTGTTAAATAACATGCAACACAAAGCTTTTCAAGACAAATTTAGAGAAACTACAGAAAGGCTGTACATTCAGGATACCAGTTTTGTTGGTTTTGTTGTTCTTTCCCTCTCGGATGTGTGTTTTTTATTTTCTACCAGGTACCAGAAATAGGCCCTAGGTACTGCTGGGGCAAAGTTAGGCAGTAAGAGAAGGGTTTGGGGCTGATGTCATTATCTGTTGTTTGTGTTTTTTTTTCACTAAGACAACTGCAGTCACCCTCATGTGATGGCCTTATCTACTATGTAAGATGTTACCATTTCTGAACATAGCCTACAGATAAAATAAATGACAGAGTGGTGAATGTACTTCAATAATCAGTGTATGCCAAGTCAGTACAACTGCATCAGGATAGGTGATTGGACATCACTGTTATTATAACGATTTATTTATTTAGATTATGAAAGGATTCACAGTTTGCTTGGAGCTTTCCAGGCACACGAGTTGCTTCCAATGGGAGGAGGGGAAAAGAGTTTACAATGAATCCATAATGTGAAGAAGTGTTAGAAAAGAAAATTTTAAATTATATCAGCATATCCAGATCGCCAGTTTTCACTGGGAGAGGTGAATGAGACACTCCTATAGGATTCTGGGTTGTCATAAATTCTAATATTTTAAAAGATTTCTAAACAACCTCTTTCTAAAAATGCTAGCAACCATATATTTCGTGTAAGGAAAGGTCTGATTAGGTATAACTAGCCAAATAATTTGAATGCAAAACACTTGTGGTAAATTTGAATTTCTAACCACAAGTGCAAAATACTCCCAATACAGGTGGTTAGACATAACTTTTTGAAAGAAATTATGGGAAAGCAGTATTTTATTATTGGTGATATTTAGGCAATGATTTAGGCACAATTATGTTGTACTTGTCGTAAAATTCTCAATTCAGCATGAAGATGTTATAAAAATCCACAGTCTAAACTACCAGCACAGCAGATGTCTTGTTTTCCTTTCACTTTTTCTTGTCCTGTTAATGCAGTACTTCATTCTTCACCAGTCTGGTACTTACCTAAACGGTTTCCTGTCTTACCTGGACCAGGAAGAATCAAATTCATCTCTGGCTTCACTCCTCACTGGATGGAGTGACTACATAGATAAATTTGACATTTTGTCTTGACATTTGGAATAGCCCACAGTTCTACATCTGAGAACAAGATCCAATGTCCATATGTATTATCCGAAAATGTATATTTGTTAGATAAGCCCATATGCCAATGAGTGGGTTACAGCTGTGCCAAGTTTTTTTTGAGTAAACATGAAAATACCCAGTCTCTCAATAGCATACAGGATTTAATTTATGAGTCTTATACTTCTGGAACAGAAGAATAGTTGAATACTCTGGAACAGAGTAGTTGAGGAGAAGTCAGTCTTTTCCCATTCTATAAGTTTCCTGTGAAATAAGATTAAAATCATTAACCTAGTATGCAAATTTTAGAAATCTCTATGCCGCAAGGGAGACTAAAGTTAGGGAAGGGGTAATAATTAAGCCTTCACAAAAGGTTCCGTCAAATAAGGAAGCCCAGTTTTGCATAGAGGAAAATAACTTATGTTAAGTGGTTTGAGTGGGTTATGAGAGACCCAAGGCTCAGACAAAGACTTCAATCTGCCAATCAGCCAAAGAACTAAATTGAGTCATGCCTCAAAAGTGACTGTTTTTTTTTCCCGTTTAAGTATAAAATGTGTCACACTTGCAAGTAATTTGTGTAATTGGGTGCCAATTAAACAATTATCTCATTATCTCTTATGAACTAAATAAGATGCTTTGAAATACAAGAAAAATAAATAGAATTATTACAGCTCTGAATTAAAGACTCTGGTTTTTTATTAGAAAAGTAAGTGCTCACAAAACACACATTCCCTGAGTTCCTAAGGCAGTTCCACTAACTTGTTTCCAAGATAAGGCAGAAAAAGCATAAACAGGTCCAGAGGAAGAAGGCGCACATAACAGAAGTGGAAGCAGTGATGTCAGGATTTAGTCACCTGCTTTGCAGTATAGCAGGAAATTTCTTACCTCAGTTTATCCACACAATTTCTGTTTATGAGAATCATGACAACGCTGAAGGAAGTACTGGGGTTTGTCTCCATGGCAAGACCAGAATGGAATAGCTTTCTCACAGTGAGCAGTCCTACATACAGCTCTTCATGTGAACTTGACTCACATGAAGGATTTAGGTACCTAAAAGAGGTAAAGGCTTCAGACTGCAAATGACACTTCTCTGATGTCCCACTGGGTTGCTTTCAAACCTAGAGGCAATCAAAATCTGCATAGTTAGGAGATGGAGTTGAAAGGCCTGCTCTTCACAAGAGTAATTTTTTTTTTTTTTCTGGATTTTAGCCAATAGTTTTGCCACATGTTATTGTATTGAAAAATTTTAGGTCTGAGTCTGAAAACTAAGTCTCCCCTTTTCTCGATGTGGATGACTTTTACACCTCAGTCAGAGTTGGGGCTTCTGCCATGAGGCTACAGAGCTCCTAGGGGCTGCTTGGTAGAGCTGTCTTTGATACAGAACAAAAATTACTTTCATTCCAGAATAATTAATCTAGTTTTGAAGAACACACATTCTTCTGGAATTAGAGAGACTTTATTTTGCAATATTATATCCACATTGGTAACTATTTTAGAATAGCCATTGCAGAATAACATATTTCTCTAGAGCTAATCTTGTAAATTTAGCTTTGTACACAAGATGTAATGTCATTCTCTGGCTTAGCTCTAACTGTATGAAAAAGAAATTTTAAAGTAACATTTTTTTTTTTTGTGAAATATACTAAAGGCATCCTTGCTAAATTTTCATGGATGACAAATTCCTACTGAATCAGGTTCATCTTTTGTTTGTTTGTTTTTTCCATGTCCAAATTTTAAATATGTTTTTCTTTCTACCTCTTTGATAAGGGCAGGTGTCAGTAACAGTACCACTGTTACTGATTCCTTCCTTTTTCTATAGAGGGACAACATCTTAATCAACATAGATTGGTGTGTGGGAGGGTGTTCTGTTTTATTAAATAAAAATGAGGATGTAATAAATCAATTTTTAAAATCACAGAGTATTAATTCAATGTGGACCTGAAATACAACTTATTTCATAAAGAAATTTCTGTGAAAATAATGTATCGCATTTTCAGTTCATCTAGATTGTAGTCTGTATGCTAGCAGCTATGCACTTTGTTTAATTTCTAACTTCCTTCTTGTTTATTGTGGGCATGTCAACCTACAGGTCCAAATTTTTAAATAAATATTTCTTAAATGTTTTTAAAAGCCCTTATCATAAAACTCTGACAACAAACAAATCCTAATTTGCACTAAAATGCACTAAAGGCCAAAACACCCACTTGTTTCAGTGGGTAAAGGAGTATATTTAACAGGTTTAATATCTGTTAATATGCAGATGAATTCTGACCTTGATCTCCCAATTTTTCCTTGAAATTGTGGCACATATGGTGTGCCATGTTCCTTAGTCATGTATTTACCACTGATTAACCAGAAGATAATTCTATGCTGTAATTAGTTAAACCATACATTCTCACTTAATTCACATGAAGGGGTTACTACTAGGCTGCATAAGATCAATCACATTTGGCAGTCTTCTACCAAAGCTGGAAATAAAATTTTCTTATGGATACAATTTCAGCTGTGTTTTGCATGTGGTGGGTTTTGGTTTTTGTTGGGTTTTTTGTGTGTGTTTGAGTTTTTAAGTGTTTTATCTCTTTATTTTCTTATTGTAAAGAAAGTGTGAAAGCATGTTTTCAGCATGGTGTTTCTTTTGACTTTCTAGCATGTCACAGGATCTGTTGTAATTTAGCTGTATTTTGTCTTTAATTTTTTTGTGTTTTCATAGCATATGTTGATTGATGTGGAGGCGTGTCAGCAAAAAAGTGTATTTTCTTATTTGTAGCCACAAAAATAAGTGTGTTTAGCTGTATTTTGGGTGGGTTTTTTAAGTCAAGTTCTACACCTGCTCTTCACATGCAACTCACGTTAAGCGAAGTAGGAGCCTCATGCTTTTGCATGAGATATGATGAGATCTTAAAAAGTTCATTCATAGCATATTCTGTTGTGATGCTTGTTATGATTCATAGACTAATTACATAACAGAAGTCCTCCAGCAGTTTTTTTTAAAAAGTAGCTACTTTTATCATCTCAGTAGAGCACATTTTATATATCTAAAAGATGAAAAAATACCAAATTCAATTACTTCACTTCGTAAATTAACTGCAAATTATCTGAAGAAAATTAATGAATGTCCAAGTATAAGTGCCTAAAATGAGTTGTGGAGAAAGGAGTTATATGCAGTCAAAATTTGCCAATTTCTGAAGTTTCAAGTGGTTCCTTTTTTCCTTAGAAAATAAAATTTTATGTCAAGTTTCATTGTGCAAAAAGTGTTTAATACAAAATCCCCCCTGTCAATGGCATACAGAGGAGCATGTAAACACAAATAGTTTAAAAAAGAATGGTTGTTCAGCATCTTTAAAAAAACAAAAATCCTTCATGATAAGCTAATTATTGAGTTTTGTATTCATGATGCTGGTGATTTAATCAGGTTCATCATGTAATGAGCAAGTCTCATTCTCTTTGGTTTTATGTCCTTTATGTTTACAGTAGAGTAACTGGACCTTTAGACATCTCCTTAGTTGAGTTTCCAGACGCTGTTTTGTGCATGTCTGAAGTGCCTGTATGTACAAGATTGATTGATTATGATGGTCTACTGCTGTTACTAATTTGTTTCCCATGTCCGATTGGCTTTTACTTTTTACAGCTTTGAGCAGTAATTCAGTCCCCTACGCCTCCCTGATTGGCTCTGTGTCCTCCCTCTCTAGCCAAACTACCACTCAGTCCTTATATGATAATAACTCTCTCCCACGATTCGCTCGAAAAGGTCTAAACATCTTTGTCTCTATTATTTTCTCTGTTGAAGCACTGTTTTAGATGTACATCAGTCCACCTCCATTTCTGGATCAATCTAGAGTTCTCTTGTGCCTTTTCACTCACATATTTTTCATAGGGGTGCTTGATCTGGATCAATGAGTATAATTATTAGATGACTGTCACCCACACTCGTTTTGAGAATAGAAGTTCTATTAAGTGAATTTTCTAAGAAAATGGGAGACAACCAGAATGGATTCAAATGAATTAGTACTTACACACTAATTTTTTAATTGACATTTATAAACATGTCCCCATTATATCTGGGTATTCTGCTTTGTTAGTTGACTGACAGCTTGCCTTAATATCTGCTTTAAATAATGTCTCACCATCACAGATGTGCTATGAAGGTAATAGAAATATATATGAACAGGGTTAGAAGAATTAGGGCCAGTGCTGCTGGACATTATTTTGGACTCTAGTATGATGCCTGAAATGTCAAAGAATCAAAAAGAAAACAAGAATTAAAAAAAAAAAGGAAAAAGAAAAACATGCCGTAGTGTGACTGTGTTGTAACCACATGGTCATTCTCAGCTACGTTTACAGGAAATGCAAGTTACCTGTCTTAGGCATGCTCTTGAAATTCACGGTGACAAAGCAAACCGCATTATGCAACATGGCTTCCAGCTTGAGCCCCCTTGAGTCATCACTGTTTTCCCTTTGTAATTTCAAGAGATCATGGGGTTCACTAGCTTAATTTTTCTAGCCAGCTCTGATTTCTTCCCACAAACAATTGAAAACTCACTTTCATTTTAGGTCTAATAGTATAAAGCATGAAGAGAAGAATGTAAGCATTTTGGAGAAGGGTCGTGAAGACTAATAGTGTGAAACAAACATGTTCACAAATTTTTGCCTGGCAAATCTTCAGCTGGCAGATTGTTCTAGTTGACCCCACATCTTTTCTGTCTTTCTTTTGCCTTGCTGTCCCTATACTCCCTTCCACACCCATCTCTATCCCCGATTCCCAGTTCTTCTTTTTCATTCATCACTGGACAAAGATGTTTACACCTGAAGTAGATTGTAGGTACTTCTGGGGGTTGATAAATGGGGTTTCAGATTAAGCGTATTTTAAGGTACTAGTGCAGTCAGTATGTGTGTCCAGCCAAACTCTACAACCCCTGCCTCTACAATCTGCTACTAGTGAAAACATTTTTGAATTTCTAATTGTCTGATGTCCAATGTTGTCTTCAGTGAATGTTGTCTAAAGCAATGGTGCATGTTTTTCTAGTCATTCACAGTTGCATGTGAATGTCAGTCACCTCAAAATTTCATAAAATATTTAAGTACTTCTAATTTAGTCAGAATACAGTCAGTCTTCTAGACCTTGATGCATTATTACTAATCCTCAAGCTATCCATTTCATTTTCTTATAATTTATTTTATAAGTTAGTTTTATGTTGGTTTGAGGATTCTTTGCTTTTTACCATTTTCTTTGCAGGTTCAGGTGTCTCCGGTTACCTTGGTAACCTTCATTCTTCAAGTTCGTTTTTCTTGATTATGCATAAGTCATTTTGGTTTTTGTCAAAACACTATTCTTTCCCCTTTAGGGCTCTTTCAGTGTCTGTTTCTCAGCTCACCTTTCTTCATCTAATTCAATGGAGTTTCCATTTCATCCAGGGCAGGAGGAGTTTGAAATGACATTAAGAGTCATTACTCAAAGCAGAGGTCGACATCAGGTCTAACTGTCTCATTTTTCCATGCCTAGCTAACCTCATTGACTCATATCACAGTAACTCTTTCCTCTACAATAGGAATGTTAGCTTTGGGAATATGCTTGGTGACTTCTTTTCATTTGGCTTCAGAGTTCATCTATCCAGAGCATGTCCTGCTTTGAGTAACCAAACTATTTGCCTGCTTCTCTCACATATGACATCTTTTCTACTTACACATTTCTAGCCATTCTAACTACTGCATTTTCTAAATTTTAGAGTGATGCCATCACTGTGGTTTACTTTAAATTCTGTTCTTCTTTCTTGTTCAACAGGTATGGCCAGTCATCCCCCAATACCTATCTTGGAACTTGCAGATCACATTGAAAGATTGAAAGCAAATGACAATTTGAAGTTCTCACAGGAATATGAGGTATTTTTTCCCACTTTCTCATTATTCAAATTGTTTAAAATGTCATACTTTCTGTTTCGCTAGACTTTTCTCTGATATGTACCCATCCTGATGGTGCCAGTTTTGTACGATATTAAAACCATGAAAAGAAAACTTGCCTGTGTAAAATGACTACGTTAGTTAGGTGGCTCCTTTGCATATAACAATCTATTCTCTTTTATTTGGATATGTGTCAGGGAGATTCCATGGGCCAATACTTGAAGTAGTGTGTGAATGATACAGTACTTACTGTTTTTAATATATGCAAACATCCATCTACTCTGAAGTTAAAAGATCCTTAGATTATTTCAAAATTCTCCAGTGTAATGTTGACAGGATGTATACAGTACAAGCTCCGAAGAAATTACAGTGTCAATTTTGCATGCATTAAAAGAATTTGCAATTGTCTGGTGTCTTTCCTGATATAACCATTTCAAGACATTGTGTTTTCCTCCTGTAAATAATACCACATTGATAATCTGTCAATGATGGTCTATAAGAGCATGAAAGAATTTAACTGGAAGAGAGTAATCATTTACAAGCCACCTTATCAGTAATCCATGGAGTATACCTTCCCAGACAGGCATTGGTACTGTGGAGAGTAACAGCCTCTCATGTCAGTAATTTGTGGCTAAAGGGACTTAGATAGCCATCCATTAAATGCAGTAAATTATAGCTATTTCTTCAATGCCAATACGGTCTATGTCAAAAATCTGTAGGTAAAGTATGTACTGACCCATCAGAAAAAGAATGCTTCTTTAGAGCAGCTGTTGGGCGGTCATGTCAGTGATCCAAGGATTAACAGTTCCCAGGGGGGTCACTGACACAGTATTTTCTTTATAGTCTGTTGTGTCACTAATCCTTGCTTAAAACTCCCCAAGACTTTGTTATCACGGTGAAGTAAAAACCCATGTTACTCTTATTTTTTTGGGGGACTGCACAGTCATGTAACATGTGACTGCATGGTACAGAAATCCTGTAAATGCCCAAGGTATTTAAAAAACCTTGACGGAAAATGTTGAAAATTAATGCTAACTACTGTGATAGAGAACTATAATTGCTTATTATTTAGTTGAATGCGTTGTTCAGAAAGACCTTAAGACTGCTCTAAAAATAATCTCATTAGATGTCAAAAGGAAAATATAGTCTCAACAATTCATAGAAATAAATTTGTTTGAAGAGCATCTCAGGACTGCTGTTTACTGTTGCAATGACGAAAAATGTGTATCTTCTCATATTTCTGTGTTCTTAAGTACAAAGATTGTAGCATATAAAGAATTAGACAGGGAAATTTACGTAACATAATGTTCACCATAAAAAAAGGTAACATTTGCTGCAAATTTGACGATCATTTCCTGTTGTACTATGGGCAAATTCCTTGGAAAATCTGTGTAGGAAATTCCATGTAATAAATAAAAAATGCCATTACAAGTCATATGAAGTAGTACAACTTCTGTAAAAATAAACCACACACTTTTACTACATCTTGAGCATGTTGTGAAGATGACATGGTTCTTCTTATGCTGTAATATAACTTTGAAGTTTTAGTGTATTATATTTCCTTTATTATTTAAATCATTAAAATCATCTTGAGAATGTAATTAACATTTATAGCCAGCATTGTGAAGATACATTAAATCATTTAGTTCTTAGTATCTGTCCATGCAGAATTTTTTACTAGTCTGTTTAAACAGCCCAACCTTTTAAAATGGACAACTGTCGGTCAACATCAAGCTTCATTCACATTGCTTTGCCCAAAGGACTTCAACATTTATCTTTGAAATCCCAGCTTTAGAGATACCCTTTCGTTTCCATTTAGTCCAAGGTTCATGCATTTTGAAACAAAATGAGTGAAAAGCACTCATGGTTTAGTCTAGGCAGTGGACTAAGGCTGCAGTTTCATGATCACTGTAAGTCATCTCCCTGGCTTGGCTGTGCATTCCTGTTGTCTCTCTTGTGCCAATCCTGGCACTAGCACATGTGCAGCTGTTCAAGGATTATCTCAGGAAATAGACTCAGCTGAAAACTAATTGTTTTATTTTTCTTTGCTGTCTTTAGTTGAATCAATTCCCTGAACTAGCTCACCACATGGCTGCATGAGCTCTAGTGCCAGCACCAGGGAGCTGGTGGGAACATTTGTGGCTGGGGATTGGGACCTTCTCTTTCACCAGCAGTCTTCACTAATGTCACTTAAAAGCAGCTATCTGATTCTGATGCAGAAATGGGCACAGATGGTAGCAGTTCAGTTATTATCACTTCAGATTATGTTTGAACTAGTGACACAGAAGGGAAAAGACATATTTTTCGTCTTCGGGAATTCAAGGTGTAACATGCAGCAGGGATCTACTGACCTTTATTAATCGTAATAAAATCTTCCAGTTAATTCCCATTTTGGGAAACAAACAGTTCTCATCAGTTACCACTGATGATATTTTTTTTTTTTTTCATAATGGCCTTTCCTCTTTGGCATTCCATTATTTTATTTTACTTTTTATGGAATTTCTAACATTACGTGGATGAAATTGTTCAAAAATAGACTGATAGTATACAACAACTGTTCTGACAACTTTGTGATACAGTAAAATAAAATTTGTATGTACAGTTTCCTGATGAACACTGACTTCTCATCCAGTTTGTAGAATTTCTTTCAGGAGGTTAGCTCGATTTCAAAAGGATGTTTTAATTATTTTTTGGCACACCCTACTTTAGTTGCCATTTCCAAAGAATTCCTTGTTTCACAACTGAAACACATCTGTTCACATTATATGCACCCTTTTCAGCTCTTCAGAAGTATTTGAGTACTTGCTCCTGTTACATCCTTGTTTCTGTGTCATCCACTGCCTTTTTGATCGGAATTTCTGATCAAAATTGTGTGCAAGTTTGTTTTTCTCCTTTTGGAAGAATACTGCTTCCTTGCCTGTTCCCACTTTCTCTTCAGACAGACAGAAACCTCCCTGTCTCTTCTCTACTTCCAAAAGAGAGAAACAGCAGGTGCATATCTACATGCTCTCTCCTCTGCTGATTTATACCCTCCAGCATAATTTTCTAATGAAGCCCCCTAACTTCCTTGCACCCTCCTGGGGAAGGTGAAGGAAAACTTCATTGTTAGACCACGAGAGAAGACAGGATTGCTTTCTACAAAAAATCCCAACCTCAACCCACTATCCTCCATTCATCTCACACAAAGGTTCCCAAATGTGGTTTGGGTTTTTTTTTGTTGGTTGTTTTTTGTTTGTTGGGTTGTTTTTTGTTTTCTGAGAATATGTTCCTTTTAATGCTGTGACAAAACTAGTTCAGAAAATCTGAAATTGCCATTGAAGAAAGCGTAAGTCCAAACTGCATGTGTCTGCACTCTGGTTCTGAAATCAGGGTACCGTGGCAAGTTGGGAAAGTAGGTATTGCAAAAAGGTGAAAAGCAATGTGCATAGTATAAACTATATATTCTCAGGAAAAGAAAGAAAAAAAAAAGTAGAATTCCTTCATTGCTATGATGTGGTAGAAGGAGTGTATTCTCTGGTGTAGACCATCTTCCAGCTGTGTAATGTTTTCTAAGCTTTGATGCCGTAGATTGGAGGAGTTCCTACTTCTGCAGGTCTTCAGTAACTATTTCATAGTGTCTTCTTCAAGGCTTCTCCTAGCCCAGCTCTTACAGGGGATGATCATAAGAACAGTGGAGACTCCTGTTGTTGTACTTTTCTCACAACTTCACATTGAGTAACAGATTTCATGGGAGAACAAGAGCCAAGCCTTAAAGGTTCTGACTGTTGCAAGGTTTAATGTACTTATAGTTCATCTGTTTGATAAAGTGGTTTTGTAGGTTTAGCATGGATAGTGCTGTGTCCTCAGTAAAGTTCATTTCTACTTCAAAATAATTTTTTCTTAATTTTTATTTATTTATTATTTACTATTAGCTTGCCATCCCCAACCCTTAGCAAAATGTTCATTTACCTTGTTAACATGACGTATTCTTTGTGTCGCATAGTTCTTTTGTATTCCCTAATTTAAAGACAAAGTTTGTGACCCAAACTGATTATTATGAAGCTTTTGCTGACTTTGGCATGCAGTGGGATTTTTATGTAATGCAAGCCTCCATATGGACTTGACAGCTGCTAAGTAGAAAGCCATATTCATAAGAAACTGACCTTTATGTTGTATCTCCTTCTTAGCTCAGGCTTCAGAATTAAACAATAAAAAGTGGTCATGGAGACTGAATCAGAACAGTAATGTTCTGCCTACTTTATGCAATATATGATATATTTGTAAAGTCATTTCCTCTTATAACACAGAACAGAAAATCTGTTTCTCCAAAGCAGATTCCTGGGTCTTGTGTAAAATAGTTTTGCATTTATTATCCAAGATCTGTAGGCATAGCTTTAAATCCTTAAGGAAGTAGATTCGGATTCATACCATTTTAGTGTGAGAACCTGTCACTGCAGCACAAAAATTTCACTAGCAGCCTCTATGTGTTATTGTATGATTTACTCTGTGTGTGTGTGCGCATGCACTGCTTAAGTAGTGTTATGAGAAGTTGTATATAATTTTAATGTTTTTCCTCATCAGTCTCTTTTTGTAAATTACGTAGTCTTCTGCTTTAACACTGAGTATCAGAAAAGATGAAGATGCATTTTGACTCTGTGCCACACTGCTGTAATATTGCAAGTTTTATTGTAGCTTTTCAGTATCAGTGGGTAGGATTTGTGATGAGAAGACAATTTACTGAATATAGTGCATTTATCTTTTTGTATCTCAAGCTGCAACAAGATAAGCCCTGGACAGTAAAACACAATAAATTTTATATAGGAGAAGCACATATAACATTTGTTATTGATATAAAACACTTTAAAAGTCCATGAAGAACAGATAACCTATCGAATGAATCTGTACCAAAGAAACAGCTGCACTTAACTGCCATATCATTACAGATAATAGTGACTCATATGCAAAAATCAATTTCTTCTCAGCAAAAATTTGTTTTCTATTCC